CCTTTAAGTATTCGTTTGTTAAGTATATTTTAATGACTAAAAGTTAAACTACATACTTAACAAAGTTAGCACTGTACAAATTGCTTTCACTTTTAGGAATAAAAGTATTGCCCCTTGTAAATTACATCCTCACACAATAAACATCACAGAAAAAAGAAAAAATATTTACCAAGTTATTGACCTACTTGTTACCGGCAATTTGCCTTTTAAGGAAGTAATATATGCATACGTATATATATGTATATATACCATATAAGCATATAATACTACTCTGATAACGATGTAGCATGTGTATAATGTTTTCTCTAAGGATGTACTCTCTCATCTTTTATTGTAGGAGACAATGGAACAAGCGTCCGCAAAGATACTCTTAATTGCTTGGAGAAAGTAATGTTGTTTAGAGAAATAGGAAATTGCTTTTTTTATTAAAAAATTGCATGTAATATTTCAGTGTGACATCTTTTATTTGCTGTTGTTACAGCACAAACAGCTGACTAAGGAATTAAATGAAAGTGTGCAATGTGAAATTCTTAGCAATGTGTGGTATGGCGCCACTCATAGATACGTGCTAAAATGTTTAATAATTTTGTTGAATATTAAAAGTGTTTGAAATAATTTAATAACATTAATACTGCAATAAAATTATGTATAATGGAATAAACATTATAATAATGTTTATGAAATTTTTAATAAAAAAGCAATAATCATATTTCTTCTAGTCCTTTCTAAGTAGGATAAGTATAATTATTTCTGAGTTTTTTTTTAAAGATTATCATAGACATCATCATCTGCATAGAAAGAAAGTACCTTCGATGATGTACTTTCATATATAGAACATAGTACTTATGGTTATGATTAACATGTGCTTTATAACAGTTTCTATTAACTCAACGTGTGTAAAGACGGTTAACAGAGATTTAATGATATGGAAACTATAATGTAGGCATTTAGTCCATATCGATATTTTGAATTAGTGAGAGTAATAATTGATAAATTAAAAGTTTTTAACTGGTGATTGATTACGATTTTTGACTATAATATTTGACTATAACTAATAAGGCATTTAGTGCATTTGTGTTGCTAAATTATTGTAAAAGCAGCAGTGATAAATGATACCTATAGCATATAAAATTTACTGTTTTAGTAAATAATTAAAAAAAATTTTAAGTTCATTAATTTTATATATTTATATAATTTAAATATTAATTCAGTTATAAATTTCTAAGTAATTGAAGATAAATAATTTAAATGAAAATATTTCGACGAACTTTCTTAATTAAACTTCACATACTTTACAATTTCTATTTATCTGTTGTTTTTAACTGGGTCACCACATAATAAAACTTTGCAAATGCATTGCTTGAGTGCAAAAAACAATCCAAAAAGTGTAAAAAATAAATCTTAAAAAAAAGCAGAACAATCTGATGCCAATGACACATGTACTACGGATTTAGCATTATAATGGTGAAGTGCAAAACTTTTTAACGAGCGCAGCTGTTAACCTTAAACATTCAGTTAAGTGGTTTACCTAACACTTTGCAGAACTCTACAGCTTAAATGTAAATTCAACATAAGGATAATGTGCTTATGTTAACGTTAATGTTAAATTATCATTAACTCATTTATTTGAGTAATTAAAGCTTTTATAAAAATGATAAAATCGTTTAAAGACGAAAACTCTTCAAATGTAATTAATTTTAAATTTTAAATTGTTAGTAAATTTACATAAAAATTTTGTTTTCAATTTATAAAATGTTTAAGCTAATATTTAAAAATATTAATTTATTATTACATCGAGTTATATAATAAAATTTAATTTAAACGCGTTTAAGGTCGGTTCTTTCTATGTCAGTTCTTGAGGACGTTGAATTCTTCTATTTTGGAAGCATAATTCAAAGAACGGCAGATCCAGCGCTGATATCAAGCACCTTATTAATAAAAAGAAAATAGGGTTTTGGCTTAAATGAGTTGTGGAGATCACACCAGATATCGTGTTAAACTATAATTCAAATATTTAACTCAAATATTATATCCACTCTCTTATATGGATGATAATCAAAAACACTGCGTCAAATCACATCAACGCGCTACAAGTCTTTATTAATCAGTCTTTACAGAAAATCGATAAAATGCTTTGGCCAAACATGCTAACGAATGAAAGATTATGGCTCATCAATAACCAAACACCAATATAGATTGAGATAATTAAGCGCAACTATACCTGGATAAACCATACACAATGCAGATCAGTGACAACACAAGAATAACGGTCGAGTGAAACCCCATAGGCAGCCGAAGAAGAGGTAAGCCTATGCACACTTAGAGAAGACAAACGGATATAGAAATGTCACGTATGCACATAAATTGGAGAGAATTGAAGCTATTAATCTGATCTGAATGTAAAAATTTTGTTGCGGCTCTATGCTCCTCCTAGGAGTTAAAGAAATTTATATAAATATAATGTCGATTATTTAACACTATAATTGTTAATAAGTAGCACTTATTACATTTATTTATTAAAATTTTTTTATATGTTTTAACATATTTTAAATAATTTTCAAATATTTTAAATATATTATATATTTTAAATAACCACTTTAAAGCCCGGTTAAATTCAATTTTATTTATTTTATTTATACTCATATTAAAAATTAACGAATTTGTATACATTTCTATTAACTTTAAATAAATTTAATTTCTAGCATAAAATGCTCCGTATTATTTTTTATCTTACTTTTTTGTACTTCAATATTTTCTTCATTGATTAAAAAATATATTAAATGTTCCCTACATCTTTTTATCTTTACACTCATGTTCTGTTTAGTATCCTTTCAATTTCAATTTCGTTAATATTGTTAAAAGGTTAAAAATTTTTTTAAATTTATTTAAAAATAAATTTATATTTGATTTCACATCCTGAAAAGATTGTAGTATTTTATTCGGTTTTAAATTTCAGCAATGTGTTTATGAAAACTTCGGTGGTACTATATTTAAGTAGTTTTCATATATTTCGCTCAACAAGTACATAAAATGCCAGTTAAGAAATAAATATTGAAAAATGTTAGCTACAAATTTTATACCTTTAGAAGTAAAAACTGAATATTTAATAAAATGCTTAAACTTTTGTATAATAACCAGAAAGGCCTTATATCCCTTCCCATGGTCAGAAAGAATTGTGTTGCTTCGAAAGCAAAAACACTATTGCATATTTTTAAAAGATAATTTTCCAGAACGTTAGTTCTTTGTTAAAAGCATATTCAAAATGAAATTTACTGGTATTAAAGTACTCTTATTTTTGATGCTTCTAATAACATTGTGATAGAAATTTTATATAAACTTTCTTAGATGAGAATGTTTGAGGGAATTTAGGTAATATTAACCTGAATAAGTTATATATACTCATTTATTTTAAGTGCATGAAAAGATACATTTTAACTGTTAGTCAGTTGAAACTACAGGTTTGAAGCAGAAAATAGAGTAGTTTTCTTTTTCTACTCTATTTTTGTAAACATTTGATGTTAATTGTTGTAATTTGATGACTTTTTACTATTTAGAGTAATATTCTTTACGATCACAGTTCATCAGGGTGCATTTGCGATCTCAAAAGCATATGTACTTGCTATGAAATATAACAATATTATCGTAAATCAATAATATAAATAATACTAAAAGTAATGCTATATAAGTAATGTAATAAGTATTTTAAGTAAGTTTTATCATCCTAAATAAACAAAACATTGTGTAGATAAAATAGAACAAGCTAACATATAAGACGAAATATGACAATAATGAAGTAAGTTATAAAATCAATTTACAAATGTTAAGTTTGTGCTTTCATAATATTTAAAATATTTTAATACAGAATTTCTGCGAACAAAGTGCATAAAACTAACTTAAATAATGTATTTGGAATGGTAAGTGATTTGTTAATTTTGAAAATATGAAGTAATAATGCAAGAAAATAATATTGCATAAATGAATAAAAAGTATGTGAAAATTAAAAAATAAAAAACTAAGATAAGAAAAACTTTGAACATCAGTTTTTAAAACATCAAAAGTTATAAATAAATTTAAATATATGTAAACTATGAAATAAAAGTTATACAGACTTGAACAACAAAATATACTCATATATTTATGAAGTTTCTTCTATGCAAAGTTCATAGTTCCAAGTTTTACTCTGTTCCATTACTGTGAACTAAAACGAACTAATAAAAAGTTTATACTTTCTTGAAACAAGCACAGAAATATATATTTTAAATACTCGTTAAATTAAATTTTACCATAAAAATTTCTATTAAATGCGATGAAATGACTTCAACATGCAGATAAACTTTATATACATAAACATCACCATAAGTTCTCATTTTATTTTGTTTTATGTTTGGATTCACAAAGTAAAATTATGAATTTTATATATCAATTTGAGAGCTTCTCTTATATACAGAACATTGCATTTTTATAATGGTATTAAATTATATTTCAGTCAAAAATATATTTAGTATAACAAAATGTGCAAAGAAAAAACTTTTCATACACAAAAAATGACAAAAAATGTAAATGACTTCACCAAAGGAAGTACAAGCTTAGGAGCATAATATGTTAATCCTGGAAACCATTTGCATTCTATACCAGACAATTTATCCCTTGAATTTTTCAATACCATTCGAGAAACGGAAGTGCACATGACTGAAACTCGGGGGCTGACCTAAATTCAACTTTTAGCACATTGGAACCATTGACACAAAGTTAAACTCACATTGCACATTTACATGCTACCAAAAAAATAAAATAAATATTAAAAAAAAAGTGCAGAATTTTGGCAAATTTGTTGGTAAGTGCAACAAATTTGTGCTAGAAGCAATTCAGATACAGATATTTGCTTTTAAATTTAACTAAATTCAAATAAAGCTATTCAAATAACAATAAATAAAAAAATTTAAAAGAAAATAAAAATAAGTGAATAAAATTCTATTTATATTTTATGATTTAGATATTTATTAAAAATCTGCCATAAATTGCTCAACTATATTAGCAGCAACTTTACATTTTTTAAATGTCTTATAACAATCCACTCCTGATTTACCAGCAACGTGTGCTTCCTTATAAGCAGTATCCATAAACTCGGTACCTGGTCTGTGTTATAATAAATTAAATATAAATGTTATAAAATTCAAGAATGTTAGATAGTTGTTAAGTTTATTTAACTTACGTCAGTACTATATTATAGATTTCAGCAAATACGCCTACATGTTGCTCTATTTGTGCATTCTTACATATTGAACGCAGTAAGCAATCATGTCCATTACCATGCGTTTTGTTCATAAAAGACTCCAGTGCAATATATACAAGCAGTCTGGCATCATCTTTTCGAAATATCCCATCTTTATCGATATTTGTTCGCATTCTGCCAACAGAACGTGAGAATATTGTTTCCCATTTATCCCATGGATACAGTGGTGTAGATTGTATGGTATATGTCCCACCTTGCAGATTGTATGTGTTAATTATGCTGCGCCAATCAACAGGATCGCCGAAATCAAGTGGTAAAGCTGGACCCATTACAAGCTTTGGGAAGAAAATATAAATGTTGAAACAAAGTTTAAAATTAAGATTAAAAATATATTAATATTGTATTTTATTTTATTAATTATATTAATTTTAAGGAAATGTGTTATTTTAAATTAACAAATTGAAAGTTTCAACCATATAATACATTCATTATGTTCTATAGGTTCTTACGTATATATCGTCTATATTAAGTATTAAAGATTTTCGAGTGGTATGATGATTTGTTTCGTTATCTGAGTTTTGCAGGGTCGCAAAATGTATTAAACTTATGTTGCTGAAAGGATGTTGCAATATTATATATAATATATATATATGTATACTATATATATATATATATATAACATATATATAAAAAACCTGCGGAAAAACCTAGAAATATGGTGGCCTAACCACGTATTAAATGCAGAACTTTTGCTCCAAACAAATCATAAAGCTACTCTAACCGAAATAAAAATGCGAAAATGGAATTGGATAGAGCATATTATCCGACGACCAAATATATATATTCAACGACAAGCTTTGACATGGAGCCCACAAGACTGCATACTTCTGGTGTACCGGCTTTAACTTGGAGAATTGAAAGAGAAATGACAGAACCGCTCTACACATGAAACGATGTATGCAGAAAAGCACCTAACAGAGTGCGGTTTAAGAGAATCGGTTCGGTCCTATGCCCCACTAAGGCCACTAGGCAAACGGATACAAAGAATAAAATGAAGAATATATATATATATACTTTTTTTTATATATATTTGATTTTTCGTAGTAACTTATTTGTAACTAAATAATTGTCGTAGTTTGGTGGTAAATATTGTTTTTTTTTTGTAAAAAGACGAATTTAAAAGTTTAATTGGGTTTCATAACATTTTCAAGTAGGGACCGCAACACGATCAATTCGATACAGCATTTTCTTATAAACCCTGACTAATAATATATACAATATATATATAAATACATGATAAATATGTGAGTATAATATTATATGGTTAATTTTATCTATCAAAATATAATAAAAAATAAATATTGCACAGTATTCCTATCCGTAAAATAATCAATGGATTTTAATGTTAAATGGGTGGTAATATAGCAATAATGATAAAGTCGATAATCTCAATATGAAATCTATAAACATAAGTTAAGTAAATATATAAATCTCCACTAATCTATATAATTTACATTTAAATGTTTTAATATATCTACTATGTATTTGTATTATATACTAAGGGCATTGTAGGAATCAGTGACAGCTATAAAAATATTTCTATCAACAGACAAAATATGCACTGATTTAATTTATGTAGTATTGTATATTTAGGGCACTAAGAACTCATTGAAAACAGCACTGCTTATATAAAACAAGAGAAACGGAAATGGGTGGATAAGCCGCCAGGCAGTTTATCAGGTTGTGTAAAATCGGAGTTGCCTAAGTGAAATAAAATTAGATTAACTAGATATAAATTGGCAATTATTTTTATCAATATCTAACACATATTTTTTATGTAAAATTTATTCATAACATTCAATAAATATATTTTAAAGAGGTCACAATTTTGAATTGATATATGGGGTTATATTATATTATTTACAAGGAAAAAAATCAGGTTTTAATAAAACACCTTCGAGGTTTGTCATTATGTACAAATACCAGGCTTGTAAATTTCTTACTTAAAATAAATAATATTAATGATGATTATTGATAGAATTTTATGTATAAATGTCAAACGTTAAATTAAACTGAAACATCATATAGTATCATCATACTTTTCTGTATGTATACATTTTTTTTTGTCTCAAAATATAACTTATTATATTAAAATACAACTTAGGGAGACGAAAAAATTTGGAGATTTTACGCTTTTGTTTTGAACCATTCTATTGTAGAGTTAAATTAAATTTGGGAAACTATTATTAAGATAAAAAAAATAATCAGAAATCAGGTGAGTATATATGTATACTTAAATTTAAATCAATGACAACAATTAGGTGATGAATATTTGTTACTTTGGTTAACTACTTAAAGTTGTTATATGGAATGTTGTCAAATATATACCCAGTTTTTGAGTTGCATATATGAACATAGTTTTATAACTAGACGTAGATGACTATATGTAGCTGCTATATAAAATTAAAACAAATTTTAACGCTTTAACGATTTATCCGAATAAAATCCGATACCAGATAAATTTTTGATAGGCATAGTTTTATCATTTTTATAATTAATTGCTAATATGAACAAAATTTATCGATAAAGTATGAATATAGTCTTTTCCTTTTCCATGATTTTGAGTAGAAAACTCTAGCATCAAAACTCTAGTATCTAAGATTTGTACTTAAGTGTTTATAATTATAAAATATTGGTACATTGTTATTTTACAAATTTTTAATTGGTTCAGATTTGAATAATCTGAATATATAAATAAATTCGATTGAGCAACTAAAATTAATCCAAACATCACTGTCAAAAATAGTATAGGTCTAATTTATTAAATAACAAACATATAACCTTCCTTAATTCTAATTTTTTAATTTATATTTCATAACTGAAGAGCTTTAGTTGGCATTACTTAACTTCATTATTCAAGGTATAAATAAGCTAAGAATAAATTCTTTAAATATTTCATAAAAAATATAGAAACCACGCAAAGCTATAAATTACGGAAACTGCAACTAGAATTAAAATTATTATTTTTAATTTATTACTTCCATAAGAGAAAGTTTTTTTTCAGTCCTAAGTCAGTTAATTTATTTGACTTTTTAATTAAATTCTTAAGTATAACAAACAGTCTATATTTAAAAAAAGTATATATGTAATTTGGATTTCACAATTTTTCTTATCGTTTGTATCTATCATATGAAGATAAATTAAGAAGGCAAGTATTAAACATTTATTAAAAATTGCCTAATATAGTCTTAATATAATTTATTTAATTAGAAATCAGCCATATGTTGATCTAAAAAATTGGATATGACA